CTCACCAAGGGCAACCCCAGAAAAGTGAATGAGTTTGTCTTCTCCAATCATGACTTCCTCAATAAGTTTGCAACTTCCAAGCTTTACCAATTCTGGGTGATCAAAGGTAGAGGCAATTTCACCACCTATAAACATAAACGTTTATTAGTTCAATGCACAGCAGGCTTAAAATTCCTGTTTTCTAATAAGCAGTAATGGATAATGATAGATAATGTGTATCTTAACATTTTAAAAATTGATTATTATATGCCAGGCAGTCTTTTTAAGTACTTCATATGGACTAATTATTTAATCTTTAAAACAATCCTTAGAGAGGTTCATTATCCCATTTTACACATGATAAAAATGAGGCCAAGAGGTTTACTTTCCTATCCAAAGTTACCTAACTTGGATGAATATCAAAAGTTGGGGTTCAAACTCAAGCAGTCTGGCTTCAGATCTGTAAGCACATGCTATACAATACTACTACCTCCCAAAGGTTAAACTGAGTCTTAAAGCAGTTACTTTGAGTTTAAATTCAGATTCTCTTCTGAATCCAATCTTAAAACTAAGCCCTCATGATACAATCCCAGCTCAAGACATGAAAATATTTGTCCTATGTCAAGTACTATACACTTCATGAACTGCTTAAAATAGTAAGCACCTGATCTAATTATCACAATGGAAACATCATAAGGCCTTTTAAAAAAAAAGCATACTAAGAATTTCCCAGAGCAAATTCAATAAGAACAAATTAATTACAGTCCTTATGTCTCATTTCTATTCCTATTTTCCCTCCATTTTCCATGTTGTAAACTGAACAGGTCAGCCATTTCATTCCCTATTTCCTAACTAAGCAAAAGTTAGGTTTCCATGTCAAAATCCTTTTCTCTAGCTGACTACTCATTTCATAATGTGTATTCCATATACTATCAATCAACTCTTCTTTTCCTATTCCTTACTGATAAATCTGCCAATGCTCTATTATTTATTTTACAATAAAATTATAAAGACCCTGGTCTTAGGACTTTTTTTCTTTCTTTTTAAAGAGACAGTGTCTTGCTATGTTGCCTAGACTGGAGTGCAATGACTATTCACTAGACATCATCATAGCACACTGCAGACCCAACCTTCTGGGCTCAAGCAATCTTTCTGCCTCAGCCTCCTTAACAGATGAGACTACAGGCACAAGCCACCATGCCCAACACAAGACAATTAATGACACTTCCAAGAACCAATGTCATCATACAACTTGACAACTACTGGGCTTTTAAGGATGGGAGCCACCATGTGGTCAACTTCATAGACATATAGTTGGTGTACTTAATAAAACATTCTTCTGGGTACATATGGCAATTTCAGATGTCAAGTCCTTGTGATATGTTTATCCCATTAATATATTATTACCCTTTATTTCTTTTATCTTCATTTTGCGGCACTAAAAAAATTACATAAACATGAGCATCTTAAATTTATGTGTCACCTTAAAGCATCAAGTACGCAACGGCTCCTAAAGAACTTTAAAGGAGGCAAACCCCCTTCAAGTCATTAAAGGAAAATGTCTCTTGGTCAGAGGAAGACTATGCTTCTCAAATTGTTAAAAAAAAAAAAAAGTCTGAAGAGTTCATTCTGAGATGAGGCCAACTCTACTCTTCAAATGTTAGTACGCTTTAATTTCTTCTAATATTCATGGCCGTTCCAAACAGTATGACAGTCTTACTGACTTCATAGCTCATAACACAGGTTTCCAGGTCTCCTTAATTCCCATTCCCAAACCAACTTTCCAAGCTATTCATTCATTTTCAAGGGCCTAAAATCTGGAAAAATCTGTTAAACTTACTTTTCTAGGGCTACTTAGAGTTTACTATGAAAACCATTAACAAAACTATACTTATACCCCCTCAATCTATAAAAATGTAATAAAACAAATTTTTTTAAACCATTACCAGAATAAAGAGCAACAAGTTACACTTTTT